CATTAATAACTACCCTTTTAATTATTTAGTTATATCATTATATCATTGACTTTCAGTGATTGCATATCTAATGAATACTTAATCAATTGATCAACTGTTTGCAGCACTATTTCTTTCACTAAAAAATTAATGATAATCTATTAATATATCTTGAAAAAGTGGCATGGAGGTAATATTTTTGTGACTAAATGAGGCTAGGTGGTACCACTAACTCCAGATTTAGACAGTCATAAGCTTGATAACAAAAGAGAGGAATTATTATTTTTTCTCTGCATGATGTGTAAATATTTAATGCTCATTATCTAAAAAGCCTATTCTGAAGGCAAATGTCCCCTTTTGATTCCAAACACACTCCTGCCTTTATACAATGGGGACATACAGTAGATGATGAAAAACAGGTGCAAAGTCTAACTCAATATTAAGAAGCTATTCCCATCATTTTATATCCCTGGTCTATACGCCTACATGTGTGCATGTGTGAGCGTGTGGTGGCGGGCCTCCCAGGCAGCCAAGCACCAGCATCAGGCTTTTCTAATGAGGCCATAAGAAGCACAACTTCTCTGTTGTGCTGCCTGGAACATTACTCTGCATTTGAAATGCACCCAGCGGCCTAGCAGGCATCTTTTATCGTTGGATGCAGCTGTCCATGCTTTCTGAACACTTACTACCACCAAGCTTCCCTGACTACTGCCAGCGGGCAATAAGTGATAGAATCATGAAAACAGGGGGAAAAAAAGAAATATTTACCACGACAAAGGAGCAGGAGAGTAATTCTTTAAAGAGAATATTCCCATTATTGGCAAACAAAGGCAGAAACTTTTGAAAAGTAGACTTCACAGCAACTGACTATTTGCCTAAAGAGAAAGAATAGAGTGAGGGATGACAATAAAGGGTAAAGAGAAAGATACAGACAGAGCAATAGAGAGACAAAAGAAGAAGAGAGGAAAGGAAAAGTTATATATAAATCTATATGCATATACCGCTGCCTACAACACAAGTAGCACTTTATTCCATGGAGAGATGCATCAATCTTGACAGCATATGGCATCTGTGCAAAATCCATTAATTTTTAATATACCAGGCGCTGAAATGAAAAGGCTTCCTGAGACAAGCAATTGTCAGATGTCAGTAGTGTTTTGATAACTTTTTTGATCTCCTTTTTTATTTGCATTCATAAAACGGGGCTATCCACATGCCACCTCAGTTTGGACATGGCTGGAGACTGACATGGAACCGTTTTCCACATAATTGCTCCCACCTTCAGTCAGGAGATGAGGTGCAAGGGAAACAAAGAAGATGTGTGTATTACGTTGTGAGTGAGAGGAAGAGAGTGTGCACAGCACTGTACAATAAAAATATGATGACAATGTGTTGACAAGCCAAATCAAAGTATGTGTTCCTGTACTTCCATAAACCATATACCATTTTAATTACCCTATGTATCCTTGAATCTGTTAATTACAGTTAAAGCATACAGTAGAAATGCTCCAGAGAGACATAGAGGATTCAGTGATAGAATAGAACCTAAATAATGTAGGCAGGACTCCTAACTACCACACACACACCCACACACACACAAGGACACACATGATTATTTTAAAGTAGTGGCAAGGTTTGAAAGTGCAGATTACAAAGGTCTCTTCAGAGTAGAGCAGAGAAGTGCTGTAGAGCTCAAATGTTCTCCAGCTATGTGGCTCAGCTCTGTTAGAGGGATAAGATGAGCCGCTCTCAATGAGACATAAGTACAAAGAGGTCAAATAGTCAGCTCAATGAGTTTTGTCATATTTCTATATCCTCAGACAGTTCCATAGGAAGGTCCTCACCCCTCTTAATGCAAATACATGACTGTACTTGAGAGGAGTATTCTTTTTTTTCCTCCTCTCCCCACTGTTAATGGATAACTCTTTGTGCATGTGCAGAGGGTGCATTGCAAGATATTTATTCATATTCGTAAAATGGCAATTTAAAGCTTGCGAGTAGCCATAGGAGATGAACAGGAACTTGTGAAATCCAATAAGAGCTGCTTTAGAGACAGGTGCAAAGCGGACTAATTAATAGCAATCTATACTCTGGCCAGGGCATGCAGCGGGCCGACTGAGACACTCTTAGGTCGGGCAATGAAAAGATAGCAGCTCCAAATTCATTTTCTCACCGTGGCTCTCCCAAAGGAAGGCTCCCAAGTACACTCACACTTCCTTTAATGCCTTCACTGGGGTGTAATTTATTTTTGCGTTTGCCAGCACATTTGGAAAGTTCATTACTTCGCTCATGGCTTGTTAATTAGCCTTGTAGAGCTGCCATTAGATCTCCTCGGGCCAGGACCGAGATGAGACTTTTGTCCCAAAACATTAACACACTGCAGGAGGCCTGTAAAACTGCACTCTGCCCATTTAAGTTGTAACAGTGACACCTCGGTGAAAATGTGAAAGATGGAGGGACAATCAAGTCAAAGTCACATGTGCTCTGAACGGGCTGTTGCCTCATTTTATGTTTCACCTTTGCTGCCATGGACAGGGGTCAGGCTCATTTCTTTCTAACACCTGTTCTGGGTTGACTTTAATGCCGTTCCTCCACTGATGGCCAATATCCAGCTTGATGTCTGTCCTCCTGTCAGTCTTTGCTAAATCCCAGTTGACAGGATAACTGGCTGACTCTGTGGTGATCTCCTCAGGGTTCTCACTCACTTCCAACCCTGGAGCTCCAAGGGAGGATGAACAGTAATGAGCAGTAGTACCAGGCTCAGCTGGCGGGTTTCAGAATTCCTGTTGTGTGAGGCGTGACTACAGGAACATGGACTGACACCACAGCTACAACACCAGCAGTACAGACCAGCCAGCATGGCCTTATTGATTATGCAGGTGCTCATTTGTGTGGCCAAGCGGGTAGCAGGCACGTGTCTCATTTGAACTTTACAGGAATGGAATACGCTCCAATTTCCCCGCTGCAAAAAAGGAAGCCCTGGTGCTTTATTTTTAGAACAGCTGCGTCTAATGGGGCCTGGCAGGTACAGGAGGCGTCACATCTGTCGAGGCCCAGGTGATGCTCTCGCCCTCTGCTCCTCGCCTTCTCCCTACCAGTCAAATGACTCACACTGAAGATCAACAATGTCATTTCCAATAAACTCTTCTTCCTCTTCCTGCCACTTTCCATCAGTTCTGGCGATAGGTTCTTGCTAGTAGCCATTTCATTCCACAACACAGCGGAAGAGGAGATGCATAATGTAAAAGATGTAAAGAAGATGAATGCTCTGTCTAATGCCCGGGCACTGGGAAGATTAATTAGAAAAATCCAGCTTTCTGACTGGGCAAACGTTTGTGGTATAGAGCCCATACACCTGTGCCAGAGTGCGCCCCTCTGGAGCTAAGGAAGACATGCAGTAGCATTGAAGGTATTGGTATAGGTGAAGCTGCCCTTCAAACTTATAATGAGCAACACTGCAAATTTCACTCCAATTGAGTATCGGTTGGTAAATTTGGAAAAGTCAGTGCTCAACGTCAGCCCTGATGTTAAATCACACAAGAGCCAGTAATTAGACTGTGCAATGGGCACTGTTCTCTCAGTTTTACTTAATAGTGTCCACTTGCCAATGACATTTCTTTGCTGATAAAGTTTACAAAAAGTGTCGGTTAGATAGTCAGAACGTAGCCCATGATTAATAACTACCAAGTTCACTTATACTGAATTGTATTGTAAAGAAAAAGTCACCAATGATTGGCCAGTAAGAAAAGCTGATCCCCTCCAAGGACCTCACCTCTCCAGTCATGTTTTAGCTATAAATTTCTTGTTTAATTTGTTGACACACAAAATGAAGTCATCTATTCATAATAGTATTAAGTAAACCAGCTAATTAAACCACAGATTCAACAAAAATAATTACTCAGGAGTTCATATATCATAACAAAAACTATCTACTATAATGCATTCTTTCATTTCAAAGTATGAAAACTAGACCTTGTAGCTTTCATAGTTAAAATGTTTTGCAGTGCTTTCTCCAAACACTTCTACATCACCGGGATGTGAAAGCGTGGTCATGGTTATTACTGGGGTTATGCAAAATCTCATTTGCCCTATAACTTGTATACAGCTTATATAGAATTGTGCAGTGTGTGCACATAATAGCGGAAGAAAAATTCTCTGAATTGTGAATCTAGCTTAATTTTATTTCTTTATTTGTTGCAGTTGTTAGAGTTGAAAAATGACAAATCTGCAAACCTTTGGCTGATCATTATAAACAATTTTATAATGAAAAGTTTGATCCATTAATTATGGACAGCCAAAACTGGGCAATGCACAGAATGATGTTCATTTTTTTATTCGACTTTTCCATAAGCATTCATAGTGTAGAAATGTGAGTGCCTTAAACTTTGTCTCCATGCAACATATTTTACATATTATTGTCAGCAGAAAGTGGAGTGGTTGCGAAAGTATCTACTTTAATGAGAAACTAGTACACACTGACACTGTTTAAGTTTTGTTACTTTTTTTGAGTTCTTCATTGGATAGAATGTGCTGCAGAGTTTACTCTTGCTTATTATAAGTCCTACTCCTTTGGTGATGAGAAAATGTAATACCATGTTCTTGTGCCATGTTCTCTTTCAACTCAGTGACTTAAGCATTCCAACGATCTAACAGTTTGTCTACCTGTGCAAAATATTCCCGCTCTCTTTCTATCTTACCTGAAACCCACCGCGCTCCAAACATCTTTTGCATCAAACGTCACCGTGGCAGACGTGAATAGCTCACTGGAAACAGGAATATATATCCCTCATACCAGGGTGGGGTGGCACACCACACAACAGTAAGATCAACAACAATAACAACAACGGCAGCAGCAGCGTTTGCTCAACACAGCAGACTGCTGATAAAAGGGGGGGTTTGAGTTGCACAAGTTCCTCTCAGCTCAGCAGAACGGTGCCATCAGCTGTAGCATTTGTCTGTTCTCTCTTCCACCCTCCCTCCTTCCTCCCCCTCTTCCTCCCCCTTCCTCTCTTCCTATCCAGAAGACAGGAAGCTGTTTGTGGGAATGCTCGGCAAGCAGCAGAGCGAGGACGACGTCCGGCGGCTGTTCGAGACCTTCGGCCAGATCGAGGAGTGCACCGTCCTGCGAGGGCCTGATGGGGCCAGTAAGGGTCAGAGCCCACACACCTCCCACTCTTTTTTTCCCTGTCTGTCCCTCTTAATCCCTCTGTCTGCCTGTACGTTTGTCACTCTTTCTGCTCTTTACATTTTTAGAACCATGCTTCACCCGCTGCACATTCGTTGACATCATCAGCAATCCACTCTGCTCCTCTGAATAACTCATCCTCCCCTTCAGCTATTCTGTTTTTCACCACCTCTTATGTGTCTCGCTTGCATTTCTTTCATACCTCATTGTCACTGTGCACCGACACCTCCTTCCTCCCACTTTCCTTTTCTCTCTACTTTCTGTATTTCCCTTCCCTTTTTTGTTCGCACTCTACAACTCCTTCCTCTCTCCTTTTTCTTTCCCTCCTGAACTTCTTCTTATGTTGTCTCTTCATCACGGCAGCTCCTCTCACCCTGGGCTTGTACTCGACAAATCCATCACGCAACACCTCGTCTTTCTGCTCACCCCCCTCCTCCTCCTCCTCCTCCTGTTATCTGAAAAGCGGAGGGGTGTAATCATGTTTGTTTCCCACATTCCCGTCATCCCTCCCCAGAGACACCATTGGACGATAATGTCCTACTGTAAATAAAGCAGCCAGGCTTTGGGTTTTGCTGCTGTCACTCACAGTGCAGCAGATTTACCTGCATTCAGGAACAGCTTATGCATTCATGTCTGTGGCTTATGTGCTATTTAGTTTGTAGAGCGTGGTCAAATTAAAGATGGCTGTGAAACGTGCAATACAGGTGGGATTGTTCTGAGAATGCGGGAGGCTCCCCCATCATCCTTTGATGGGTCTCTGTCTCACAGCCATATTTGGAGTGATGACGGCAATGACATTGCTCAGAACCTCTACCTTCCTTTCTCTCTGTTGACTGTGACTTATTCACCTATATGAAGCATCTGAAAATGTCAAAGGAATGTGTGGCAAGGCAAGAGAGAGGGGTTGATAATGCGCTAGCCTTGTGAGTATATCAAAGAGAAAGGCTGGCTATACTGAACCACACACCTATCTGTGTTGACATCTGTTCCTCTCTATGTTAATCCCGGGTCTATTGCTCTGTGTCGCCCCACCGGCCAGCTACCTTTCTTTCTCCCTGGCTTGTTTCCTCTTTTGCTGTCTCTCCCTCCCTCTCTGGCTCCCTCTCTTCATGTCTGCTCTGATGCCTCAAGCTGATTGACAACGCGCAAAATGAAATAAGGCCAGTGCTGTTGTGTCAGACAGGAGCTAGTTTTCTCTCTCATTCACGCTTTCACTCTTTTCACCCTCCTGCAACCCACACCTCATCTCTTTTTCTTTCTCCTCTCTTCACATGCCATATGGTTCCTGTGTTAGTATTTGTCTCTATTATCACTGGCTTGATCATAACCTTTTCTTCAGGTTTTCACTGCTATGAAATGGAACACTGTAGAGCAATGTTAACTATGAATGCTACCACCAGACAAAGGTCTCATATATAGGTATCTGGTCCTATCACTCACTGTGCAACAGTCCCACGCAATCATTACGGGATGTTACGGTAAATTATTTTGCCAGCCGCCTCGCTTGGGATGAGGTTCGCGTAATTTGAATGAGACAGACCTTGAAATTGTCAGTGCTATCTGTTCCATGATGGAGGCTTTGTCCCCTGTTGATGTAAATTTATGCCACTCAGAGGCTTTTCAGCACCCCTCTTCACCCAATAAAAAGGCCGAGAAGTTTAACATCCATCTCTCTATGGCGCTGCTCCTCAAAGTACTTTAAAAGTGCAACACTTGCTGCCAGAGTTGAATGGAGCCTAGAATTGTCAGAAAAAATAGAGAGATGGCTTTTAGGTCTATAATTAAGTTGTGTTATAAATGTCACCCATCCAGCGGGATGGAATTCATGCATACATATTATTACCCCGGGAATTCAAAAAGCAGTGCAGATCCTCTCGCTTGAAAGCAATACAATCTCTCTTTTTCCTTTTACCCCAACTCATTCTGAGCCATCAAATTCAAAAACTCAAATGTGCACTATAATTTATGAGGCTGTAGCACTTCCAATTCTTTTCAGATGGTGTGCTCTGTGTCCCTTAACTTTTTTTTTTTTCTAGGTCAGGAAAACTACAGCATTGATTTTTTTTTGGTGGAGAACTCTGAGGACGCTGTACGTTTGACATGACTTTCCATTGAGGGTGTATGCCAAGCCCTGCAGTTTTTAGTGTCTTTCTGGCTGGGCTGAGCTGCTGGGGTCACTGGGATTCTGGCACAATATCTGATAGCCTGGTTAGGGACCAGCAAGACATGTTGCCTTACAAGACCAAAAGGCTTTTGCAAGAACAAACTGCCCCTTATTATTTCAACTACAAAGGTTAAACAGCGTTTGTTCCTTCAAAGACAGAGTTACAGTCAAATGGCACACAGTAAGCTGACACATTTCAGTTGGACAAATGAAGACCTTTTCTGCCTCTACCCGGAGGGGCGTTCAAGTGAAGTAAAAGAGTGCTAGAGTGCTGTGACAGAATCAAAGACTTCTTTGACTTATCTGTTTGCCTCTGTAGATCTATACAGCTTTGAGCACATTTGACAGTACAGAAAACACATGGCCTTCACTACTTACCACAGTTCTGCACACAACACTTTAAATTGCTTACCAGTCATGTGGCAGGAATGTGGACGGAAAGCCTCAGGTAAAGGTGGAAATTTTCCTCCATTGATTGTGCACACACTGCATGTCCTTCAGTTCACTCTTTTTGATTTTGTCAGGAAATTATTCATTTGTTTGTCTGGGAAGCAAAGCTGACTCCTGAGATGTAGAAAAGAATGGGTCACTGCCAGATACAGAACATCTCCTGAGTCTACCAATCAGCGTTTTGTGTAATTTAAATGAATCATCACTCCTTTGAGAATGTAGAGTGAATAAATGTATATGAATATGAATATGAAACCATTTTTAAAAAGGTATCAACAGTTCTCAAGAAACCAGGCACCGAACTCAGGAAAAGCCTGTCTGGTTCTGAGACACTGGTGCTACTCGATTAATGAAAAGGGGGCAGAATTAATCCATGAGTTTGTTAATTAGGTATCTCTTGACTTAACACATGAGCTACCTGAAGGCAAGGATAAGAATAGGACATAACAGAATACCTTGTGCAGTCTATGATGACCATAAAGCTTAGAGAAATAGCTCCTGTTTAATTTAATGGCTTTGGGAAAATTACCACATTTCATTTCCACTGTATTTCAGTTCACTAGCTTTCTCTTTTTGTTTTAGTAGTTTAGTGCCTGTCCTCACCTACACACTCATACACTATTTAATCATGTGGTTATGTGGATATGTAACCTTGCAAAAAACATATTGTGCATTATTATTATCTAATTAAATCATTTTAACGTCATTTGAAATGTTAATGCAATGAGGCTCCAGAACCCTGCTGCCAACACCCGTTCCCTTGTCTTACGGCCAACTTTTTATGTTGACTTTTCCTTTTGTGCATTAACTACACAACAGATTTAAGATGATTTGAATGCCCCTTGAGCAAAGCCCCCCTCCATTTGAAATTATACGCGAGCAAAGATTCGGTTAGATAGGCAGATTATAATACTATGCCTTTGTCATCATAATCTCTTTTATGAGTGACTGCACACAAATCACAATGTGTAAATATTAAACAGATTAATAATCACAAACAAGTCAGCATAGTAAATGCCTTGGCTCCATGCTCCAAAGTGGAGGGGGTGGAATTAGAAATGGGCGAGGGACAGGATGTTCCAAGCAGCTACTGCCTTCACCACAATTAGACTGATTTATTCAGAGTTATGCGTTGAACACACAAATGGCAGAATATATTTTCAACAAAGATAACATGAAAACAATGGTAATGAATGTTTTTTTCCTCCCATGTTCAAGGCCATTTCCCTGATGTTGTGCCCCTCCTTTCTATTTCTATCTCATTTTTGTGTATACAGGCTGTGCCTTTGTCAAGTTCTCCAGCCACGCAGAAGCGCAGGCCGCCATCAACAGCTTACATGGTGGACAGACTATGCCTGTAAGTAACACACTTTGAAATACAATCATATAAAGTGTTCTTAAGTGTTCTTCTAACAACATAATTAACTTTAGTGTCAAGTTTATTTTAATGCAGCTGCAAACAAGTGCGTTTACACTCGATGTGGACAGTGTGGACAAGGGATGTGATGTCACTTGAATGTATGTATGCCAGCTTTTGTCAATGTTCCCAGTTTTATAAAATGTTTGAGGCAGACTAGGGCAAAGTTTACGACAAAGATTGGTGGACTTGATTCTGTTTGCTGCCCTGCCAAGAAACAGACACTAACCAAGTCTTCTTTGAAAGTTTTCTATTCCACATGCATACACCCACTGCATGGTGTGTGGCTCTTTTAAAAATTCATCATTGAATGTCTTTGTCTTTTTGTGTGTTTGGAAAACCTTGTACATCTAAGACAAAACAATACACTCAAAATATACGAGAATATCTATTATTTATCTGTGTATCAATTTTTTGGTTTGTATATACATTATATACAGTAACCACAGGGACTAGTCTCAAAGAACATTAACAGTCCACTGTCTCACTGTGCATTATCGCACACAAAAGATTTCCACAGTCAGCATCCACCACGTTACAGCGCACAGCTGCATACTCTTTTCACTCAATATCCATTTCTTTCTCCTGCTATTCAGACCACCTTTTCAGCAGACAGATAAAACATGTTTACATGCACAGCCTTTTTAACATTCACAGTTTACATTTACAATAGAAACAGCAAAATGTTAATTGGAACAATTAGCAAATAAGTACCAATAGATTATGGCTGCATTCCATACTGAATTTCCACTTGGTTATTATAGTGATAGTTAAGGGGAGAGAATACTCACAGATAGCCTTAAGCTTATCAGGTTTTTATAGCTAGAGCTAATGTTAGCTTACAATTGCCCTACTTTATGTCAAGAAGAAACAGAGCATCCCATTGGAAAACCTTTTCTGGCCACCTGTTGAGTGTAATTTCAGTATTTGATGCCGTTTTAGTCCTGGTTTGGTCCATCAACTTCTGAAAAACAAGAAGATGCAAGGGCATAACAGTAGTTTGAAGGAATCTTTTAATAATTTAATGTGTGTAGGTTCAGGCAGGTTGTTCAGAATCTGGTTCTAAATTGTGAAGAAGCCAAGAGAAAGCTGTGTGTCTGTGAATTTGTGAATTATCTGTCCATCTGTCTATGTTTTTCCTGTAATTTGGCATCCTAAATCTCATCTGCCATTGTTCGGTGAGTTTTCTGACCCATTAGCTCAATGAGTCCTTTATATATTGTCGAAGACAAATATGTTTATTTTTTTGTGCAAAGGTCTCGCTTGAAAAAGCGAATCACAATTTCAATTTGAGTAGTGGTTTAAATAGATGGTTACTAATAATAACTTTGATAAAATGAGATAAAAGTTAAAGTGATACACTTGAGGAAAATTCAGTTTCAAAAAAGGACACTTTCCTGCAAGAGGAAGACAAGAACAAGATGTTCCAAACAAGAACAAACTAAGGCATAGAAGACTAGTTTCTGACTACTCGTGGATTAAAATGTCTCTCATCACATGAATAAATAGTTCTCTGTCAAAAGTGAATAGCTTGAACAGCTCTCTTAACCTGTTCCTAAAAACAGTGTGAAATTAGTGGCTTTATACTGGGAGACAGTGTGTCATCTTCATGGTGAAGCAATTTGAGGTAGTAGGCCAAAGAAGATTATTTCAGAATTGGAGTAATTAACTTTTGACACTTTATATGCTGTTTAGGCAATTTATGAGGATGGCTAGACAGGTAGTTTTGGAATTCCATACACCTAGATATAAATGTGTGTCATCAGCATAAAAGTAAAACTTTTTTTCAGTCCGAGATGTTGTAGAGTCATGTGTGAACACTGTAAATGTAAAAAAAAAAAAAAATGTATTGAAAACTACAACTATTCTACAGGGGATAAGGATGAAGGATGGATATTGTTGCTGGGTAAAAACTGACCAACTGAATGTTTAGAAAGTACAATAATGAGTACTATAGATAACAGAAACGTAAAAGTCACAGCCTCTTCCAGCAACGTAGGAGAAATGACTTAAAAACAGCTCATCACCACCAGATTATTAACAGTGACAGTTTAGCCCGTCATGATGCTAGTCTTTGTTAAAAACTATTAAACATTTAAAACACTTGAAAACATGTATCAAGGGAGGCTTCATTACAGTGACTAGAAGGGAGGTCAACGTAAGATAATAATATTGAAAAGCACCCTAGAGTTAGGATGGATCTTCAAAATGAGGTCAGATTAATAAGCCACTTTTGTTTCCTTAACTGCTTCCTGACATTTCAGCATTAAGTGCTTCATAATATTGTGGGACACTTGCAGTTTATCAACATCCTATTAACTTTTGGTATCATCTACACAAGACCAGGATATTTATCTTGAAATGTGGAATAATGTTAAGCTGTAAATACTAGCTATATTGCTGCAGCCTAATTGTATATCAGATTGCACATCATTCCTTTTACAGACATAGAACACATAAACACTTGTTTGTTCTCATGACTCTGGTGGATTGTGTTGCACTGTACAATAGATAGTAGTTTAGCTGTATAAGGAATTGTGGAGGGTAATGAAGGTAGTTTTGTGTTGGTCCAGTTTGATATGCAGTAGTTATGAGATGCAGAAAGTAGCATTAGTTGGTGTTGATTTGTTTAGTTGAAGAATGAGGCCACCAAACCTGTAACTTTTGTCAAGCTGCAGTTAATTACAGAATTTGGATATGCTTCTGTCGGGCTTGAACAAGGCCACCAAAAAGGCTTAAGTAAAAGAAATGATGAATTACAAAGCATCTCCTTGCCAGTGCTGGGTGTGAGTACTGCACAGCTGGACACACACGAGCATACACTCTTTCTGGCAGACATCCGCACCTTCACACACTTCACTGATGTTCCGCAATAAATATTTACGGACGCTTCCTGGCAGCCAGATAGTGTCCTGGAAGCCAGATGTAATTTACACATCTTTTTGATGCAGCCTCATTTTGCATTACATTGAAGTAGCGAGGGAGGGAAGTAAGTGGTAGAGTCAGTTTAACTTTGTGTGTGGTTCTTATTGTGCTCAGTAGAAACCAAACTTCTTGGCATGTAAACCACAAGGGTCAAAATTCAATAAGCAGTGGGCCATGAGCCAAAGAATAATCATGTCGCACACTGATCACACACAATTATGACATACCTCTTACTGAAATGTGATTACAATAAAGATATTTACCTTCTACTCAAAATATCTTGTTGACTCAATCAGCAGTTTACATCCAGAAGATTCTCATAATTGGTCTCCTTTTGGGCTGCTTTTTTGTACAGATCGAAATTTGACTTGTGCGGAGTACTTTGTGTATGTTTGTCTTGCTTTAGCCCAGTCACAGTTGTATTAGGTTGGGCCACTGAGCCACCTGAGGTCTGCTGCAGATGAACTGTCCAAGGCAACATATGGAGCCCCAAACAGACCTGGGGCGGATCAAGAGCCGTCCAAAAGTTCATTAATAATCTATATTATCCATATCTCTCTCCCTCTATCCCTGCACCTGTTATCCTCCTCTCCCCCAAATCCAACTTCCACTCAGATTAATAGGCAAGGTGGCCATTAGTATCCAACTAAGGCTTTGGTACCGATGGGGGATGCAGTTAATTTGGATAATATCACTGCCACATGTCGTCAACAACAGACTAACAGGAGGCAGGATTCAGAGAGTGGGCTTCTCAGCTCACTGCCTGCTGCCAGCTGTGAGGTCTGGATGAACCTTGAACAAAGAGTTGTCTCTCACTCCCTCTCGGTCTCTCTCTCCCTCTTAATGTTCTCTCTGCAGCATCTGTGTTACCTGGCACATGCACACATGCCATAAATAATACCTGCACCAAAATACGCTGGCCCAAAATGAAAGGCTTTAATGAAGCTTAAGGGCAAGGGATGCCACCGAAGGGCATGCACTGATAGATCGGGTCATAGCTTTAATTGATGTTTACTGCACTTTGCAGGTGCTACCAAAATTAACTTAAAAGGTGATTGGGCACAGAACAGGCACTCTCAGTGGTTCAGCTGTTGAATTACAGTAAGGCTGCAGAGGCACAGGTGGCAAAACTTCAAATGGCAGAGCCGGGGGCAGGCAGACAACACCCAGCAAATTGCAGACATTGTCATGTTCAGTGTCACAGCGTGGCTGACAGGGTCTGTGGAGCGCACCAGTGTTGGCAGCAACAAGAGCGTGCATGTGTGTGATGCTATAGTTCTGGATTAATGAGAGATAAGACCAAGCCAGAGAGTATTGTCATTGTAACAAGCAATTCATCAACGCCACATGAAACTTTTGTAGCATCTCGGCAGGCTTGTAGCTGACATACTCCATGGAGATTTGTGGCTTGCACTCCTCACATACACAACATATAAACTGTTATTTCCAAAATGTAGTATAAACACCAAGTGAAAATACCATTATGAATGACAGTGTTCTTCTTCTCTGTCTCTTGGCTGTCTCTTGAGCAGTGTGTCTTCGGCAGCTGCAGCAGTATGTGGTGGCCAGCAAGGCTAGACCAAGACGGCATCATCCAGTGCTAATGAGAGACAGTCCTCCCATGAGGCTAGCAGGAATGTAGCATGGTTCAGAGAGTTGAATGCGAAGCCCAGAGCGTGTTCATCCAATTACCAAACAAACGTGTTATGGTGTATTCAATTAATTTATTACAAATTCTCGATTAACACTTTTAAGTCTGTAGAAACCTGTGACAACTTTTGAAGTTTCATTTGTCATTTTAATGTAACTGTTACATGTTTGCTGAACGGGGGAGAAAGAGGGTTCGTAGTACCTTAGTTGTTAATCATTAACATGCTTTTTGAATATTTGTTTCCCTTCAATGCGTGAGTCAGTATACTATATTGCCATAAGCCCCTGTAGAGGATCTAAGATGAGTGTCTGTTTACCTGTACACACTTAACACCAGTGTCTTTGTATCACAGCAATGCAGAGATAAAAGCAAAATGCCATTTCACTGGTGGAGCTAAATTCTAATCCCTCAATTACTGTTGTGTATTTTTCCATCTACACATTTTGTGGCCTATACAAAATCCAATATGGGAGATTTTCACAAGTCAAGTGTGTTGTTCAAGAAATTAGATTAGTTTTTGAACCCGTGACAAATTCCTTAGTTGTACCTGTCAAAAGTGAAGGCTCCCTGTTGGCCCTTATCAAATTCAGCGAATTCATTTTCTCTCCAGGTATAGGAGTCATGCTGGTGGAGGTTATTATTCTGTTTGTTTGTCAGCTTGTGATTTTCTGCTACCAGTGAGGAGTGGCTGCTTTGCATCCAGTGCCTGTTGTCTGCTGCCACCTGTTCCTTCTTTACCTGGCCACATATTATTCTTTCTTTATGTGGATAGAAACTCTTGATCCTTGAGGGGGATCGCACTCTGAAATCTGCTTTTTTCTGATTAGGCCTTGGACCTAGTCAGAATACATCCGCTTGAGATGTGAGGATAAGAAATTCTCCTTTTCAGGGGTGAGGATTTTTTTATTTTAGAAGGGATATTTTGGCTTTTGTGCTTCAAAAGTCAGAAATGCTAGGCTCTGACATGAATGGCAGTGCCGACAACACCTGCAGAGGCTGTTGTAGTGCTTTAGTGCTGCTGCCAAGTCTGTTCAGTGTAGACACTGCAGACAGGGTCTCCTCCTGTGCTGTCATCTACAGCAGAGCGCTCTGCTGGTAGAAGCCAGGCCAGGCCAGACTCTTGAGTCACGGTGCAGTGAGTACAGGCAGCCTCAGGCTTTCAAAGTCCCGATGCTCACAATGCATTCTTCATGAGGTATTAAATGAAAAGAATACACAGATACACAAAGCAGAAAATGAATGTGATCTAAATGCCAGGCCCCTGTGCTGTGGGCAGGATTGAGCAACAACGCTGGAGGAAGATGTTTGCTCTGTGCCAGTCTCATTAAATCTAACAGCCCAGTGCCTTCAACTGACCCACAAAGTTGAAAAAGAACTAAAAAAGGTCAGGAGGTAGGATGAAATGAAATTAGAAAAGGGAAAACTGTGCTGTTAACACCGCCATGTCGGAGTATTGATTTAACTAATTGAAATGGCATCGAGAGAGAAACACCAGATGGGTCTCATCTGTCCTGAGGTAGGGTGCTGGCTGGCTCTGATAGGATCCCATCTGAGACGCATTGTCCCTGGGGTCCATGCTGATGCCTTCCTTCATTCCCCAACCTCTTTCTTACAGTTATCTATAGCCAACACATTCTCTTGGTTGTGTTAACAGAATGTTTGTACACTTAAGGCAAGGGGTAGTCGAATAGCATGCAAAGCCTCTGAACAAGAACTCGTTTGTGTTTTGCATTGAGAAAATGTGTTTTTGTCTTTTTTATAAAATGAGAAATTAGATAAGAAGAAAAACAATAGCTGAAGGAAGGATAAGGCTCAAGAAAATGGTGACTGATGTTAGGGTAATGTAGAAATAAATATAAAATGTTATGAAGATATTATGTAAGGTTTGCTGCAGCAGCAATGACTAACCAAACCACAAAGCACGAGACCATCCAGGCAAACTGCCTTCTCAATGACATCGCCTAGATGTTCCTGTTTAAAATTTCATGAAGCACTTACGAAAATAGGACACACTTAACATAACATAAAGTAAGAGTGAGACTGTGTTTGTTCAGTAGCTGAATACACACTATCTTACTATGCAGTTGCAATATTCAGCTTCACAGGGCATACGTTTATTTGTTTCTATGATTTTCTGTTTGGATAGCTCTGCTTTAGTAATGTGCCTCCTGTAGGAAGCACTCGAGCTTGATCTTGATCTGAACCCGTAGAGCAACTTGGTCTAGCTCTGTCAATTTCAATTTCTTATACATAGTCACATAAACGTGTGCACAAGAAACAGGTGAATGCAGCTTCACTCACACTGGTCAGTCTCAACTTTCTCTGTCTCCGGGTCCCCTGCAGTTCCCTTACAAATTTCTACACCCAAAGAAAATATGGATATCCAAATCAAAGTCTGAATTTGTACTGACCCTGTCAGGATGAGACTTTTTGTGAAATATGAACCAAGTTGTGATTATGGAGTCCTTTTCTCCCCATGTCTTTGCTTTTATGATCTTACTAATCATATCCTGACTGCCCCCTGGCTGCCTGTGTCCTTCTGTCCTGGTGGTGCTCTGTGCACTTTCCCAGCATGCACTGCCTGTAATTAAATAGGAGACTGGTCCTCTTGACAGTGTCTGTGGCTGCTTTCTTTGCCTGGAAGCCTCTTCATCCTCTTTCTTTCTCTCTCTCTCTCTCTCTCTCTCTCTCTCTCTCTCTCTCTCTATCTTTCTGTCTCTCACTCACACACAGACACTCCACCTCCCTCTCTCCTTGTCTGGATGTCACATGAGGAACTGACTCTGGTCTCTGTCTCTCATATGATTTAATTGGATGCAAACTCAGGAGCATGGACATCAATACGGAACTATATCTGCCATAAGGCAGAGCCATTAGTCAATACTTCGCCCTCCACATGCTGAAGGCTTTTGTCAGACCTAATTACCCAGTACTATATTCAGTGGAGCTTCACCAGTGGGAGACTGGGACTCCTGTGGGATCTGGTTGGGATCATAGTTCACTCCCGGTGTATACAGTGGAGTTGGAAAGTTCACAAAAGCAAATATCACTCACTATTCTGTTCCATTTGACGCTGACAGCTAAATGACTGCAGTCATGAGAGCTGCAAATTCACTTTGAATGGCTTCTTTGACTTAGATATATTATGGTGTATGTTGTGTACACTGGACATCAGATGACAGAACTGAATGACATCCTGACCACTGTTTCTCCTTTTTAGTGATGTAGAGAATGGAAACTTTTTAGTAAAAGAAGGTTAATATACTGATACAGATACAGCCCTACATCTATTCTTAAGGAGTCAACATTTCCCAAGGGAAACACATACACATTGTGAGAAAGCCGTTTTCAACTACACAATAAAAGGTGCAAATATAATGCATGCGATCAGCACACTGTTTTTAAATAGCTTGTATTTAGGTTATGGTCAGACTGACAGTGTTCACTATGTTCATATACGACATCTGCACAATTCCAATAAAAGCATTGCATATTAACTAGAGCAATAAACTTGTCAGGCACCAATGTCAGTCAGTGACATCAGTATTGATGAGATCAGTAGTTTCACTTTGGCCAAAGCTTGCTGTTAGCTTTAGGAAATTCATATTAGCTTTCCAATCTGCTGTGGTTGCAGAGTTTGTTATTGCCTTGTTGTCCTCCTTTAGTTTTTCCCAGTGAATAACTATTTATTCAATCTAGGGAAGTTCACACAGATATTTTTGGTTAACAAACACCAGGCTGCAAAACGCTGCTGATTGAAAGTAACCATGGTACTTTGTTACTTTGTTGAAACTTATATGACTATATGACATATATTTTTTGCTTGTTTGCTTAATTGCTTTTGTTAATCTCCAGGCAGCAATAAAAAAGCATGACAATAAACCAGTGAAATAAATATATGTCATTTTTTATGAAGACACCTGAAAAGTGGTAAATGTTTAGTTTAGTTGCATATTTCACTCAGCTTGTAAATATACGTGTCCCTCCAGGGTGCCTCGTCCAGTCTGGTGGTCAAGTTTGCAGACACTGATAAGGAGAGGACATTGCGCAGGATGCACCAGATGGCGGGCCAGCTCGGCATCTTCAGTCCCATGACCATCCAGTTTGGGGCCTATGGCGCCTACTCTCATGCTGTAAGTCTCAGCCCGGCGGGGGAGGAGACGGTGAGCTTTAAAAAAGAAAATAAAAACTGTTGTGATTTGAGGTTTGAACTCACTATCTCTCCCACTAGGCATGTGACACTCCCAGCAAAAAACTCCTTAAGTGATTCGCACTATTAAATGTCTGTTAGAGTCCAACTTTACAGAGGCTTTACAGAAAATGCTGCACTGCTTTTTATATTGTGTCTTTTTATCCCTTCATTGGTCCAGGCAAGCTGCTTATCATGTATGCTCAGCACTACACTGTTTTATTTTCATACAGCTGTAAGCACCCATTTCATATTCACTTTCTATTCCCATATTTTCTGACTGGGTCTGTAAATTTAAACTGCTAACCCAAGCTTGCCTCTTTAACATTTCATCTACTTACACATATGTCTTTACACTCAAACGTCATTACCAAAAACCCACACCTGCCCACCCCATACACCTTTCCCTGCTACGCCATTTCATATTCACACATGAAAGTCACAGCCTGGGTTAGGAGTCTGTGAGATTTTGCACTCACACTGTAGCTAACAACTCACCCTGACAGGTGAGAATCGCCCACTCACTCACAATCACTCCACTAACTCTTCCCCTTTTTTTCCTCTCACACTCACACATATATGTATAAAGTACATATACATATACATAGTCTCCAGCTTGCAATACTCATCTCACCGCATAGCCTTTATATTATGTCAGTATAATGAGCACAAGGCCAGAGCAGTGTTACAGTAGCTGAGAAGCGACGCTGCAGGGCAACACCGACCACACTGTTCGAGAACAAGGCATGGGCCAAGCAAACAGAGATGTGAGAGTAAACATGCTCTGGTCCTGCGGCTATTTCACCCTCCTTTCCTTTTCTGTCCTTCCCTCCATCCCTCGCGCCATTCGCCTCTCTCCCCACTGCTCTTTAATCCAACAGCAGATGATGCAACAGCAAGCAGCCCTGATGGCAGCAACACAAGGGTCCTACCTGAACCCCATGGCAGCCATTGCTGCCGCGCAAATGCAGCAAATGGCAGCTTTCAATGTCAACGGCCTGGTGGCTACTCCCATGACACCGTCCTCAGGTACACGCTAATAGGCACATGCACACACACACACACACACACACACACACACACACACACACACACACACACACACACACACACATGCGGGGCTTCTTTCTTCATTTCTCACTGCTGCCCTGGAACATTTTCATCGTTAGCAAGAATTATAGAAGCAGTAGTAATATATTCATTCAAGGCCTTTCTGCTTTTGCCCTTGTTACATTTTTTAGGCTGTAGGCCTGTAGACATTGCCAGTGTTGCAAAGCAGAGCGTTATATTGAGTGAGGCATGATGGGAGATAATGTACAGCATTCTTTGACACTCATTGGCAGCCACATTGTAGTCTCTCTCTCTCCTCCTCTCGCTCATTATCTCTCTCTCGCTTGCTCTCTGTCTGTTGCTCTCTCCCTCTGTGTCTCTGTGACAGTGTGTGTTTTCTGGGAACATAGCCAATCCGATGACTTTGGATGCAGAGTCCTTGGCTTATACAATATAAGAGCAAAGATTTGTGCGAGATAATCCTGGACCCCAGTCTGAACTATCTTTTTGGCCCTTGTCATGAGGAGCTTTGATAAGTAGGAAGGCCGCCTGAAGGCAGGGTCATTGCAAATGTATTAAATAAAGTGGCTTGACGCTGTACCTGGCATTTGTAATCCACAAGTCCTACACATACCAGGTAATGCCTATCAAACATAATCCTACATGACTTAAATGTCCTTCACCTGGATTAGAAAAATAATAAAAATCCATCAGCACAAAAGGACACTGACAAGGTGACAGACTTGGAATATGACAAAAAGGAGCAAAGGCGGTTAGAAGAAGAGGCACAGGCCCCTGCATCCAATATACTGCACATTATGGTAGCTTCTTGCAAGTCTACATTTTGTACCTTCAAAAGGGCAGTCATTTACCCCAAGTGACAAAGATATACATTTTAACCAGGGAATAATAATGAGGAAATCAAAGTGCTACCTTTATTTTGTTCTATTACAGTAATGAATGAGTTCTTTTCCCCCGTGCCACTCTTACACCATAATCAGTGGGTTACCTTTACTGATTTTAGAAACTGTACCCAGTTAGTTCAGGCTGAATTGGTACCAATTATGTGCTCATGAGGGCCCATTATGTGCCTCTTATATAGTAGAACATTTGTGAGAAAATGTAAATTTCTGTTAAAAAATATACTACCATGTGAAGCGTTTGTATCTATTTGCAGGCACCAGCACACCCCCAGGCATCTCTGCCACAGCCGTGCCCAGCATAGGCGCCCCTATCGGGGTCAACGGATTCAGTGCCCTCCAGCCTCAAAGCAATGGGCAGCCCACCTCTGAGCCCATCTACACCAATGGTATTCACCCTTACCCAGGTGAGCCAGTCAAGGTCTACATAAAAGAAACATGAGATATATTTGTAACATCTACTGTCATGAGAATGTCGCCCTGGCCCTGACACTTCTGATTAGCTGCGTGTGCTGATGGTGATCTACGAATGTTTGATTATTCTAGTGTTGCTCTTGACATGAATAAGAACATCACCTAATTGCCACAATGCAACTTCAACATGTCAGTAGTGACAAGCTGAATTATATCACATGGTACTGTTTAGAAGTTGACAAGAGTCCTTTTTACTTCACACTGTCATTACATCTTTTTCTGATTTGAACTGAATCATTTAAGGCTTGAGGGTCAATCAACAGTGTCTTTGGGAGATTTCGGAGCAGCCAGCCCTAGTATCATGATGAATCCATCAGTTCATCCATCAGTCCATTACAGTTAATTTGATGTGTCTCAGCCCTTTCTCAGCTTCTTAATGTTGTCTGGGACTGATTCCTGAAGAATTGACAGACACACTCCCCATTTCTGCATTATGCAAAGGCAGCTGCAATTGTAATGAACTACAAAGTGGTTTGTTTGGCATGTTGTTAATATTTGATGCAAACATCTGGGGCAAACAGGGATTTTGAAGAACTGAGATATGACAACCCAAATTTATCCCACTCCCTGTGTGATCCTACCCCTTGATGGTTCTCTGCAGCTAAGCCCATTTCTGTCATTCTCTGTATATACACTTGTCTCTGTGTCTGTCTTGACCGTTCTTCGTCCTCTCTTTGTCCCGTTTTCCTCTTTGTCACTCCGCTTTCTCTGGCTCTCTTTTCGCCTCTCTGCAGCACAGAGTCCAACGGTGACCGACCCTCTCCAACAGGCTTATGCTGGCGTCCAACACTACGCAGGTGATCTGTCTCTCCTACCTCCTCTACTCTCTCACTTCCTCCATCTGTCCCTTTCCCTCTCCCCTCTCCCTCTCTGTTTGTCACATCAGTAGACACTATGACAGGTAGAGATAGCCAGACAACCAGCCAATTTTCTCACGGATTAGGCTACTTTACATTAGGATTGCAAAAGGATTTCTGGTTGACTTGATTATACACCCACACAAAAAAATCTTAATTCCAAAAGTACACTGAGAGCTGAGGATCTGAACCTGCCATAGCCTCCTACATAAGAGATGACATAGACCTCTCATAACCACTGCTTTCTGCCTGACATCAGCTCTCATTAACATGGTATAAGTCTCCCTCTCTTTCTTTGTGTGTCTGCTTAGTTGAAATGCACTCGACTCCCCTTTTGCCATACTCTTTGTGTAGAGATCCACCAGCCAAATGAGCCCAGGCTCCCAGTCCTAATGCACTTTATTTATGCAATGTCTAGAGGATGCAAATGAACAATGGAATAATGATTTGAGTTTTGTTGTGTCAAATATGAAAATAGAGATGTGAAAAATTCCACTCTGGTTCTCCCTTTGCAACAGCAGCCTACCCTGCCGCCTATGCGCCAATCAGCCAAGCGTTCCCCCAGCAACCAACCATCATTCCCCAGCAACAGAGGGAAGGTAAGAGCGAGCAAGCGCGCCCACCCAAGATAAAAGGTGATAATTGCCATGTTCCATTCTAATGTAGCTGCACTGCTTTGAATTAGCGAGGGAGGGAAAAAGCTGGCTGGGGAAAATGTGAGAAAAAGGCTCCCCATTTAAAGAGAAGAACATTAGCAGTGAGATGGAAAGTTACTCTGTCATTATTCAAAAACTGCACTAATTCAAACTCGCAGCGTTGGACTGCTTAATCAGTCCATTACAATGTGTTTAAGTGGTTATAAATATTCATCAGATTAATTAGCTGCATGCATAATCATTTATTTCCATTCTTAGTGTAGTGTTCGTTCTTATGCCACAGAATCAGATGTAATAAAGCATAGGATATACTGTGATGGTAAATCACTCTTTTTGACGCCATTCGCCAGTCTCAATTATTCATCTATATGATTGTATGAGACAGTGAAGAGTGGCATGAATATTCAATATAGGAACTGAGCGTTTCCAACATTAACGAGAGGAAAAGTTAGTTTGTTTGCATTTTTCAGTAGTGTAAGTGCATGCCAGGGCCACAGTGCAGAACTGTATTTCTAAAGTACAGCTAGACACAAACTCCACCTGTTAGCAGCTTATTATCTTTACATGCAGGCATAATTTCACACCATAGGAAAAACACACGGTTGTTAAGGACATCCCATCTCTCATTGTTACCTTGGAACATTTTAATCATTAGCAAGAATTATAGAAGTCATGTTAACACATACACACTCAGACACAGTCCCACACACTCTTTCTCACACACACACACACACACACACACACACACACACTAGAGCTATTCTTGGTTGAGCCAGTGGCCTGTCTGAGTTCTGGTCTCCTCTGGGTTTTGGCTGCTTTCCCAGCCTGTCTGAGTCCACTGCCACAGTCGGCAGCCCTGCCATTTAACAAGAGACACCTAAACCTGAATACACAGTCAAGCCTCGGCTTCAACCTCCCCCTGACAGCTAACAATTGCAACAATGCATTTTTACAGTCCGTGTCTGTGTGTGCGTATGTGTGTCAACAAAGAAAATCCCACCAAATCCAAAAATGTAATTTTAACGAGACAAATCTTCACTGTACTCTTTGAAAATGTGTGTTTTCATTTCAGCAGAGAATCTTAGGCAGCACATCTACGTGTCTCACTTCAACACTGTACAGCAACACATACTGACACAGCAAACATCAATATATGTTATGCCCAGAGTAATTTGTTGTAAAATTCTAGGCGATGAACTAAAAATGCCTCAATGTTCAATCAGTGCTGCAAACTAGTTGGTTGTAAAAAAAACAATATACTACATGGAGAATTTAAAGGCAGCCACCTTGCTCAACTTCCATGTCAACTTTACAAAATCTGTCCATGTCCATGAACAATTTATTTTTTTATCAGTTTCTTTGATTACCCTGTAAACATAATACAAAACCATTTTCGTTTTTGTTCAGTTACAAGATTTCCTTTGCTTAGTAGTAGTGTTGTAGTACTCGAGAATGGCCTTGGTCTCGAGACCGGTCTTAAGACCACTTTTTGTGGGTCTTGCAGACATTTCTTTCCCTCAAACAAACCACTTCTTTTCAAAGCATGTATTCTCTATGACCTAAACCTTAACAGAAAGAACTGAGGTTCAGCCTTTAGCTGTTATAAAAAAATCCCCGCTCTGTCAACCTGTGTGTGTGTGTGTGTGTGTGTGTGTGTCCTCTATCTCGCAGAGGCATAGCAGCACTACAGCCAGCCACCACTGCAGCCCTCTTATCAGCCTTCTCACCAGCCCTAGTCTCATCTCACCATGCTATCACCCTGAGCAATGAGACAGGAGAGAATGCTAGCCAGGCATCCAACTGCAAGCATACTGTCCCTGAGTCCATCACATCTCTTTCTCTCTTTCTGTCCACGGTTTGCTCTGTCTCTCTCTCTGGTTCATTCTTCCTTTTACCCAGATTGGCCTGTACAATATGTGGCAGCTGGGTGGATGAGTGTGGAGGGATGGAGAGAGATTGGAAGACAGTCCTACTGTCACATAGTAATTGGGACAAAAACTTGGCTTATGCTCTGCCTCCTCCTCCCCTCTCTCTTCCTCTGAGTCTCAGAGTTTCTCTGTCTCAATATAACTGTCTTAATCTCTCTCTTTCCATCAACCTCTCTGTGTTTTTTCCTTCTCCTGTTGTCTCTGTTTTTATCTCTAGCTGTTTTCTCTTTTCTTTCTATCTCTGCATTTCTGTGGCTGTTTGTGCACTGCTATTGCTAACAAATTTAACTGTATTAAATAATTTATTAAAGTGCCACCTATGTATGCGGTTATAATGTGAAATGGGGTCTTCCATTCCATAAATGGAATTAGGGTGTGTGTACTCCAAACGTGCCACAATAACTAGGTTCAACACAACTAAGATTTGACATAATCATTATTCGGTGTTTACATGGCTCCTGCGTTCCTTGGATTATTGTCCTGATTTCTTTATTGAGTAATTTTTCCGCCCATGTTATTATGGTCAGTCTCTTTCTCAGTGGGCTCCCTATATTTATGCTCACATGTAACCCTCCTGTTGTCTTTCTCTCCTCACCAGGGCCGGAGGGTTGCAATCTGTTTATTTATCACCTGCCCCAGGAGTTCGGAGATGCGGAGCTCATGCAAATGTTCCTGCCTTTCGGCAACGTCATCTCTGCCAAAGTCTTTGTGGACCGAGCGACCAATCAGAGCAAATGTTTCGGTGAGTCAAAAATTGACGGCAAAGAGGAGTTTTTTAAAAATCCATTTAAATGAAGAGAGCTCTATCAAACAGGCTTCCTGTATTTAACTGTGGCATGAGAAACTGGACACTCTTATTGCCTAAAATCACACTGGCTAAACCCACCAAGGATCCCTCATTTAGCTACTGACCCAAAGGTCTTTCCACAATTGCCATTTGCTACACACGTCTATTCATCACCCTCTCTATCACACCATTCCGAATACAATCAGTATCCTCTCCTCTTCTCTGCCATTCCCTGCCTCCTTTACCCAAGAGAAAAGCATTTTCCCAGACCACTTCCGCCACCCCCACCCCCCAATGCTTCAGGCAGGGCAACTCAGCAGCATTCCGCCTCAACCTCCCCGCCTCTCCTGTTGCCTCCCACACAGCAAACCAGTTCATCTAGGTGGAGGCGGTGCAGGTGGAATCTATGGGCTTAAAGAGATAATAATAGACTGGTGCGGGCCTTGCTGTTGATTCAGTTGGACAGCAGCACCCAGGAGAAAGGCAGGGTGAGAGAGAGAGAGAGAGAGAGACTCCCAGCATTGGCTTCCTCTCAGTTTCTCTTCAACATGGCATGTCTATGAGGCTTTCTCTTCGTCTCTTCCCTCGTCTGTCTCATTCTGTCCATCTCAGAGCCATTTCTCTCTCTCTCCCTTTGTGTGCTCGCCTCTAAACATATGCCTCTCACTATCACTATCTGTCAGTCAACAAGGGGGAAGGACAAAGGGGCGGTGACCTCATCAGTCTCACCGGCTTATTTTCCAAGGCTAGTAATTAAGATCTTGGCTGAAAAACAGCAATTTAACCCATGAGATTTTTTTTGTGGAGTTTATTCACTCATTTTCCACTCCTTTTTATAGCAGAAGCCCCTGGGCTCTTTTGTGAGACATTACCAAATTAGGCAGAAAATGCTGTACGTGAGTTTAGCCTTGATGTGTTGGGCACTGTAGAATCACATATGTGCTGCATGTCTATATACAGAGTATACAAATGTAACAAAAAATGATGGATGGATAGACTTATGAATTGCCCATTGTAAAAATGTACAAATTTGGACTTGAGCACACTGGTGTGAAGAAAATACAGTCAGTTTTTTCAATATCTAAAGCACTGCAATTACAGATAACAAATTGACAGTATTTTATACAAACTAACAGAAAGCCAATGACCTTACTGTTATTTGAAAAGATAATTTCCAAAGCACTGTTGTGTTCAATAGTCAAAATAAAAAATTAAATTTAATTATAACGAATAATCATTTATGTGTATCTGCAATTACTTAAGCAAAATTTTAATTTCCACTGTCCTTTCAACAACACAACACCATATTAAATATAAAGTAATCTAATTTAGATACCATTTTTCTTTCTTTTTCAAATTAAAATCTACAAAACCTTAAAACCTTATACCTTAAATTCATCATCTAAATATAGCTTACATTCTGTAAAGATGTCAACTGTGTAAAAGTTAACTTATTTACTATATTTTAAAAAGCAGCATACAGTATCTTAGTAGATACAGTAGGTTAAATATTTTGTTAATATTATTATTCATTTAAAATTCTTGTGAGTTTCACCAGAAACATCTATGCGTACATGCATGGCCTGATATCTCTGCAGCACAGGTAATCTTCATTTTAGGATTTTGAGAGGAGATAATCAGACATCACTCTTTGAAACTGAGTGTTTACAGAGAAGTCAGAAAATTTTAATATGATGAAAAGGTCACTAGGGGAACACTCGAAGCATGTTCTTATAAAGGATATATTTCTGGAACAGGATTTGGAGTGTACTCGTAAGGGATACATTTCTGTCAATTCAGACAGACGGCTGTTTAGTTTATTAAGTTTATTTGCACTGTGATAAAGTGGAAATGAATATGTGACATGGTGTGATATTAAACTCTTCTGCAGGTGAGATGAAGAAAAGTCTAAGGGATTTATAAAATATTTTAAAAATTAAGATGTGAGAAAGCACAAGAGACACATGAACATAGCGTGTGTTATTACTTAGTAATGTGTTATTGAGTAAACATAGAAACATATAGAACATCCATGAGGCAAATGTGTACTCTGCATAGACCTTCACAGCTGCGGAGCTATATGTTTGTGTTTCCTTTAACCTGGGACTCTATGGATAAAACATTAGTCTTAATCCTCTGCGTTTAGTCACTCAATACTGACTTAAATGTGATCAAAGCTTACCTTGTTAAGTGGCATTAGCTGGATTTAGCTTGAAAATGAATTTCAAAAAGGTCTTCTGAGAATGGAATGACACACACCCCTAAAATAGGAAGAAAAAATATACACAAGGATATGCGAATTTACCTAAAGGGACTGATTCTTTTTTTTTAATGTTCTTTTTCCTTTTTGTTCTTTCCCACTTTTAAGTCGGGGAAAGTTGTTTGTTTCAGCAGCACTCATCTTTACATTAACATATTTAGTGTGCACGGATTCACCATCCTTATTTGACACTTTTAAATAGTATCTTTGTAATAAAAGAACAAGCAAATCTCACAGATGAAAAATACTCATCACAATAAATAAATTAATAAACATTTGTTCAAACTGTAAACTTTGTAGTACGGGAGCTTCCCATGACAATTTATGACTACCAAGCAGCTTCTAATCATCTAGAGGTTGACTGACTTGTTCAAAGGGAGTTCACTGGTAGTTATAGCAGAGCAGGGGACTCTGTTTTCCTCAGCCTATGAAGGTATTTGAAGCAGGACCTCACATCTAGACTACAGCCACCCCTGAAGAAAAAAAGTGCAGAAAAGGGTTTTCATAGCACCAACAGCAGTGCTAACCAGTAACTTTTTTAGGGAAATGTAAGACTACTACAGCATTCACAGCTGCTCTACCTGGACCTTGACTCATATTTTCTCCATTGTCACCCAGAAATATTTGCATCTTTGCATGTGTTTTTATTAAAAATGCATAACATTAAAATGTGTACAGACATTATACTGATATGGATGAAAGCCATACTTCAATCACTAGTATCATTTGGGGTATTGAGTTTCACAGCACCGCCAACTGCATCAAAGATTTGAAACATTAGCCAGTTACTTTGTCTGGATGAAACGGCTGAAACTGAATTAAACTAAATTTTGAGTTTGGATGCAGTCTTTGTCCTCTTCCTTCCATACTTTGACCCCTAGCATCCTATCACCTTTTTGGCATGTGGATGTAAATGTGAGGTATGGAGATTCGTTAAAGTCATGGATGGTGTGTGTGTGTGTGTGTGTGTGTGTTTGTGGGATTGGGAGTGGGATCACTGCCAACTGACAGGCCCTTCCCTGCTCAGTTTGTTTAAAGGGTTTGTAAAAGCAGCAGCCTTATCTCACCCACACTGACAAAAGCCTGCCCTCTCCCCCCAAATTAAATTGGACCCATAGCGGTGTGATCAAATCAGCTGGCAGGCGGAAAATTCGGGCCGTCAATCACAGAGGTGTCTGATAAGAGCAGGCAAGGAGTCCCGGTGTGGAAAGCTGTGGGCTCATTCCGCCTCGACACCCAGGTGATAACTCAGAGCAGCAGGCACCTCCGTCCTACACACCTTGCTCCTAGCATCTCGTCACGACCCCCATGCCCTTTACTCTTAACTCAGATACATGCTCAGTAACACACGTACATGAAAATACACACACACGCAGCCCTGCCACACTTGGATGGCTCAAACATGCAGGTAAAATTTTATTTAATACACTGCTTTGTTCTAAAAATCCACACACAACATGAGACTCCCATTTTTCTCTCTAATCTTTGAACACCTTTTCATGTATTTTGTTCTTTTATGTTCAAGTTAAACTCACTGTTTCTAATAGCTCTTCTTCGTGATTTTTAATATCTGTGTTCTTAGCCTTTTTTGTGGTATTTTATGTAATCTTTTTAATTCAAAGATTTTCAATTAATCTGCTGAAAAGAGAAAACAAAGAGCTATTGTTGTGTCATTGTTGCGAATTAAAAAGGGTCTTCTTCTCCCCTCTTTTTTCTTTCATCTCGCCTGTCTTTTCTCCCTGTCTCTTCACCTCTCACTTTCTCTTCTTCCTGTGTCTCTCATCTCTCCCCATTCTTCTCCCTTCATGTGTTGTTCCTTTTATTCCCCATTTTTCTTTGCCCCCTTCTCTCCTCCTGTTCTGTGTTCTTGTTTTAGGCTTTGTGAGTTTTGATAACCCGTCCAGTGCTCAAGCCGCTATCCAGGCCATGAACGGCTTTCAGATAGGCATGAAGAGGCTGAAGGTGCAGCTAAAGCGGCCAAAGGATGCCAACCGACCTTACTGACTTGTCTGCTGTCCATACCCAGGTATAGTAACATCCATGCCGAAACACACCGTGCCATACTATGCCATGCCATGCCATGCTTCAAACTAAACTGTCCACTTCACTTGGATAGTTTAGTTCTTGTTGCTTCAATAGATGTGAATGTTTGAGAGTGCTTTGTATCTCAATTGAACCATCATGCAAACACATTCGCTGTAGCATTTAAATAAATTGTATGAATAAGAGTTGTTTTAGCCATTTATAACTGAAACTTAATCAAATAATAAACAATTTTAGTTTAACATGCATTTTATTAAGTTTTAAATTCTGGACCCCAATTATAACAAATGGCAACTTTTTTTAAGTGAGGACTTATATTTCCAGCAAGTTGACCTGTGTAGGGCAATTGGGCAAAGAGGAAAATTAACTACTACTACTAACTATTTTCCAATCTTTCAGCCAGGAGAAAACCCACCACCCATCATTTGCATAAAAATACTGTTGTACATACTATCTGTGATAGTGTCAATGCACTAGTTTTAGATTACACAGAATGAGCCTCTTGAGATTTGTGTCAGGTTGCCCTGCTCCACTGAGTTGTTTTTGTTTCTTCTGGGGTTTGAAACCTAATTTGTACCTGCAGGATGCTCCAGTGCAAATTGATGACATCATCAATAACTGTCTGTGCATAATTACCTGTCTACTGAGGATGGCGTTGAGAATCGATGCAAGTTGTTAAGCTACAAAATCATAAAACCATGTAGCAGTAATTCTCTCCTAAAATAGTTCAACATTAGAGTTTGGTCAGCTCTTTAGCAAAATATATAGGTCCTTTCAGTTAAACTGTTACTTACAGACTACCAAACTACTGATGAGAATGATAAGGAAAATGCTGTACATGATCTTTTTGAAAAAGGTTTGTGCTCACAAAAATAAACACATAGATGCGTAATGGAAAAGCACTTACTCACCCTACAAACTGCAGTGGCATGTATTATGGTGGAGAATAGCACCAACCCCAGTAAGCACTATTTCGTCAGTTCAAGTGATGCTTCACCAGTCAGTTCTCAAGCAACCTTATAACCTTGTAGCACTGAATGCGTGGACTGTTTATGATTTTACCATGCACAAAAAGAGTTGCACGGCAACATTTTCTGTGTTAATACATAGTATTTTTAACACTTGATAAAATGCCAGTGTAAAATTAAACTCTCCAGTGTTTACCCGTTCTCCACAAGTGAGTTAATTTAATACTGAACAAATGCAAGTTTAGATACAACTTATAGAAATCAAGCAATCCTTTGTGGATTAGTTGTGAACTATGCTCATTTTTAAAAAAACTTTTTAATCATCCAGATTTTTTTTATGAAGAATGCACTCAAAGTAGAGCAAACAAAAGATCTTGCAAATGTATGGTTACCTACTTATGCTGATTGTATATCTGCCACCAAATATCTTCAATGTCCAAGAGTTCCTTGTTATGGCCCTTAGAAAGTCTGAGCTTTCATACAAAATAATTTTAAAAAACGGTGTACTTAAAGTGGTACCATCCTTCAATGAAGACTAATTTCACAGTGTCATGCTTGATTCAAAGAATCATCACCCATCTGTTACAAAGTGCAGCTGCCAGTGCAAAACAATATAGATGCATGTTCTCTTCGCCCAATTGGCTAGGCAACATTTCATTACAATAACATAAGCCTGGATTATATTCCTCCATAAATAAAAGCATGGTAATACCATTTGTTTGTTTTAAATTTGACTCTAAAAGCCACAAGAACGTATTAATGGAATGAATACAAATGCTATGCTCCTTTTATCCTTTGCCTGATAGCATCTGAATAGAGCTGTGCCCTGCTAATTGAAGAGAGGCTTTCAAAAGCAGACACCCTGATGGTGAGGTGGTTGGGGGGGTTAGTACATCAGTGAGGGACAAATGGAAAATATCCTGCAACAGCACTGAATGACAGGACAGTCATTGAGATGTACTCAGAATGTCAGAAAGTACAGACATTTCCCGCAATAACATTCACTATATCAGGAAGTGTATGTGTGTTGCTCTGTGTGAGTGTGGTTTTTTTCATGTCCTCCATCATCTCTGGTCTGGTTCAATCCATCTCTGTGTTTTTCTTCTGTTATTACACCACTTCTGTTGTTGAGTTAAGGAAACCCAATAGACCAAAACCAAGAGAACTCACATGAAAACATTAAAGAAAAAATGCACTGGTGGGGCATCTGAAGCCAGCTCCTGTGTTATATTCTTAAAAATCATCAGTGATCTCATGAAAAAAGTTGTATTTGAAAAATTAAACTAATCTACTTTTAATTTTTTTTAAGTATTGCCTTGTATCGTGGCAGACAGTACATTGAGTTCTTGAGCAAAAAGACTGAAATAAGTAAAGTTCATCTGTAATTGTTTCATTTTCTAAATTCAACTACTTTATTACAATGAAGAACTTTGATGAAACTTGAATGATGATTTTTTCTGTGTTCGTTGGGTAAAAACTTCAATACGTAGATAGTAATACTGACGATTTCGTTTTGAAGTTGAATTAAAAACTTGATCAGACAGCATTCTCTTCTGCTGGTCTCAGGAGCCTTGCAACTCTGAAATTGCGTTCTGTGTCTTAAAGATAAACTTAATGTAAAAAAGCTGAAGCACTCACTGTACGGCCACCTTCATAGCAAACAATGCAAGCCAAATCCAATTACTGTAGACAGGACAAGTTTCTAAAATATGCATTTCTGCCTTAAGGGTTATCTTTGTGAATATAAAAACATCAGTTCAACCTTTTAACCTGCAAATGTTGTCAGCCTGAGAATATTTCACCACCACATAAGAGGCATAAGAAAAGGCCCTTTTGTGCTCTGTTGAAGATTACTTGTTCTGTTATTTCTGTTTTACTTGTCAATTCTTTTTTTTTTTTCAGTTTTATGGTAATAACCATAATAACCTCATTTGATTTGTCAGGCAGAATAAGTGAGAGTGTGGAACAAATATGGAACAGGTGCTTTTAATTCTGATTTAAGGAAAAGAAAATCCCACTGTTTCTTTCCTTCTTTTGCACCCCCACCAACCTGGCAACCTGACATGGCCAATCACAGTGTGAGGTGGCCTTTCTCCGCTATAGCCACCCTTCCCCCCACACCTGTCATGGGGCCAAGTTCCCACAACTGTAAGTTGAACCCATGGTGTCATTTTCTTTTGGATGACGTCATGTGGTGGGACTGTGACTGCGTTGCATGACGTGGCGTTGATTGATATTTCTAAACTCTATCTCTTTATATTCTGCCCTCCTTTTATATATATACTGTATATTGTATATTGGCAGTTTGTGGAGTGCAGTAAAAAGATGCCTTTCTTGGCTGGTACCTGTTGTACATAATGTAACTGACTGGTTGGTTGATTATAACTGGAAATGGCCTTTAACCCTTTGTGCTATTGTACCGTGTGCCCTTGTGATGTTTTATTTTCTCTTGTGGGGTTCATGTGTATGACTGTACTGTATTTTCTATTTCTCTATTTCTTCACATTCACATCAACAGTGTTTTTTTACCAGCAAATTATGATTTTTATTAAAGTCTGAATCTTTGCAAAAAGGGACCTTTCTCTCCTCATGATAGACAGCTGTTTAGTTGAGAGATGGGCCAAGATGACCCTATGTTTGTGTAGCCAATTAAATCTCCACCGTTCATGCAGAGAGCACAGGCAAATGTTGACACTCCACTTCCACGTTGATTCCATCTGCACAGGGAGTACTTCTGCAAGATTGTTTTGTTTGCCTTACATGAGAATCACTTCCCATTTATTTATTTATGAGGGTGCAAACCAATTACGGGATAGCAGAGCTGCAGGCAGCGCTGCAGACCCACATGGCCAGAATCTGTCCACCACACAGCCATACTGTACACAGGACACAAATGTATAAGCAGGAGTGCAGAAATAGAACAAAATACAAATACCTGGGACGGGTATTTGCTGCTGCTTGTGTTGTTTTTAGTAGGACTATGCCACCAGATAAATGAGATGTTTTTTTGCTTGTATTTGAAGTAATTATTACTTTATCTACAAAAGAGAAAAAGGCAGCAAACATATTCACAGTGAAGAAAGTCCTTTTTTTGCAAGTGAGTTTGTTTCTATACCTCTAGGCCAAACCCTGATAAGAGTTAGTCGTTTTCATCAAACTTGTTCTGCCCTATTCTTTCAGAAGCCCTGCAGGCGACTCTCCCTCCTGTAGTCTATCCAATGAACTCAGGGGGGTGTCTAGCCAGGCACGCCTGGAGGGATGAGGTCTTTCTGGCATCAACTATGCCTCTTAACTGCCAGGTGTCTTTTATGAAGCCATCCAAGTAGGTGGCGGTGTGGGGGGAGAGCATAATGCTGGGACAAAAGGAAAATGAATTCTTTATTATCTGACAAACTTGGAAGGTGAAATAGTTTTGAAAGAAGCTGTTTACTTGGGAAACATATATATATATAATTTTTTTTAAAGCCACTGTGTGTTTCTTCTGCTCTGTGTTAGATGTGTATATAGTGAGAATTGCTAGTGGCTTATAAAAGAGGGCATCTGTAATCGGGACAGTTAGTGCTTTATTCTGCTAATGGTCTGGGCTTGCTTTGGCGCACATAAGAAATAAGTTAGAATCTCTGCTCCCACATCTAAAAAGCAGATCTATTATGAAATGGTAACAAGCTCATTTACAGCAATGGAAAGGTAGAACAAAGAGCGTCTGGGCGCATGTTCCCGTCACAAAGTCAGACCCTTTCATGTTCACTCCCAGAGTGTGATTTGCTGTGATTTCATAGCCTTTCTTCACCCACATCATAGCCCACAACATATTAGAGATGATAGGCTATAAACTAGATCTTTTATATCCGAAGCTCGACAGCACGGACACATTTAACAGTGCAGCATTTTAAGTCAACACAAAGGCAGAGGAGATGCTAGGTTGTTTTTTCATTGGATCATAATTAGTGGCTATTTCTTGAAATATGTACATTTTTCTTATTGGACAACTCTCCATTTTTCTGTCACAGTCATTAAAAACTATTTTGACTAACACACAAACACATGTCTTGTTTTCGTTGTGTTTCCTTCTTGTTCTTTTGGTAGTTTGTTTGTAATAAATTAACAAGAGATGAATGGCAGCAATATCTCAGGCAACATGCAGCTGTATTTTTTTCATGCAGGGAGATGTAGTCAGTTTAAATTAGGCCTTCCTTGGATTAGTGCTGTCACAGTGTAGATGGCTGTTCCATATGGTTAAAACACAAATCTCCCACCCCACCTCTAGCCCACTTATTTCTGGTTTTGATTGACACACTCCTCTTTTTTTCTCCTCCCCGTCTGTTTCTCATGCTGTTGGCTGTGCCTGTCAGTCTGTGTGATAACCAGGAGCCAGCAACCCTGAGCATGTTTTCCACAGCCTCACTGAATCCACTCTCCTTATTCTCCCCTCTCTTTCTCTCCCCCACTCTCTCTCTCTCTCTCTCTCTGTCTGTGTCACAGGATGAAGGGCCACAACACCTTATTTCCACAAGTGCAGTAAAAGTACAAAGACTTCTTGCTCTGCTACATATCATGAAGGAAGGGTGGTCCCTTGATCCTGCTGGAAACCCGCTGAAAGATTGGGTGACTGCGAGAGGGATACCAGAGTTGTTGTTTTTGTTTTTCTTTCTTGTTTTTTCTTTCTTCGCAAATGCCTCTTTTTTCCCTGTTTTGCTTTGGCGTCTGTGGAAGAAGATTTTTTGCAGAGACCAACTTTTTGCTGCTGTTTTTTAGACATGATGGGAAAAAAACCTTTATAGACTCATTATGCTCAAAGCATGCATACTGACACAGGATATAGATAAACACAGATAACAAAACCAAACATACACATTTAACAATGCTACATTTAAAAAATGAAAAATGAAAAAAAAAAACTACTTTGTACATGTATAAATACGTGCAAATGCCAACTCAAGTACTAAAGCAAACACATGCGTGTGCGCACGCACATACATACAGACACACACGCTCACACACACATATACACACACACCAGCCTGCTGCCATTTTGGTTTTTGTGCCTACACAGGTGTTGTGCTCTGTGACAGGGCAAGCTCTGGATCAAAGAAGAAAACGAGAAGAAGAAGAGAAGAGGAGAATCCAGGATAATTTACATGCATCATTCCTTAGGAAATAGGGACCAAAGGACTAAACGCTTTTTAAAAGAATATAAATATATAATATATAAATATATTTAAAAACTCATACCTTGTAGCTGCAAGTATTACAATTTACTCGTAGTAAAAAAATCATTAAATCAATATCCAGTGGCCTACTGTAAGTAAGAATAAAAGAAAATGGAAATAATGTATTAAAAAAAGACATGGAATCTTAGTATAGGGGCTGACCTTTTGCTCTGGATGCTGATTTAGCGCCAGGTTGTAGAATAGTTAAGTAGATTAGAAAAAAAATGTAGATTTGCTAACTTTTGCTGTTGTTTAAAAAAAATACTTGAAGTTGTAATGAAAAAGGGATAAGGGTTTGGGGGGGGAGGGGGGGGGGGGGGGGCGCATTCATCTGCCCCTGTACGCAACAAGTCTCTTTCTCTTGGATGTTAAGGTATCAGCCACTGGATATCTCGCTCATCAAGATGTATAAGTCACCGCACTCTCTGACAGCTATGAACAGACTGTTCTGGAAGAAGAAAAAAAAGAATGATGAGAGAAAAAAAAGACTGAACTTACTAATGTCTGTGCTGGACAGGGTGCAGACGTTTAAGGCTTCTCACTAGCCTTTGTGTTCAAGCGACAATCCACTGTAAAGACCAAGCAAAACGGACATGTGGTGTCTTTTGTTTTTGTCTTTTCTTTTCTTGACCTTTTGTATTGCAACAAGGAGAATTATTATGAATCATGAAGCCACAAATTGTTAAAAGGAAATGGTTCTACTAAGAGAGGTGGACAAATGAATGGTCATGAGGGAAACAGAAAGGGAGGAGTAAGGTGACAGCTACTGAAACTGCCAGCAGAATAAACTGAGTATACAAATGAATTGGCCCTTATGGTGTCAAAATTCCATAAAAAAACAAAGTATGACTATTGTAAACGAAGCGACATACCAAGAGTATGTGTGTCCACTGGAGCTGCTGCGAAACTCCAGATTGAGAAAAAATGCCTTTTGTCTCTTGGCAAATAGCCTACAAACAAACATTTGTCTGAAGACAAACTCAATTTACTATATTGATGGCAAAAGGGTGCAGGCTTTTAGAGCTCATTTGGCTCCGTCAAATATGATGTAAATTCCATTATTAACATGTTCCCTGACCTGCTTTCTTCATACATTATACATAGAGCCTGTAGAAAAACAGCTACTGCTTAAACAGACTATATCTGAATTAGGTCTAACAATCACCCTTAACCATCATTCAGCTAGCTTGTAGTCTCTCTGACATTGATGCCAGGCAGGACACAGTAAAGCACGGTACTGTCATGTTTTGATTTAGAGTGCTGTAGCCTTTATTTTGACTGCTTTAGAGCTCTGGATGTGGGCTCTTCTCTAAAAGCAGATCAATATGTTTGGAATGAGTCTGGAGGGAGGAGTGATGCTGTTTCAGTCAGTCTGAACACTTCCCAATTTTCTCTGTCGAACACCAGCTCACATCCGTACACCAGCCCTTTGAGTACTGACAGCTGGCAGTAAGAGGCATGGCTAGGCAAGAATGAGGGAGGGAGGTGAAGAGAGGAAGTCAACAACTAAAAATGACATTGAGATCCTTTAAACTGGTGCTTCTAGGATGTCGTCCAGTGACGTAGTCCATAAAATTAGAAGCTGCAATCAAGCTCCTGGTGACAAACAGTATATATCTGTAGTTTCTACAGGAAACAACAGGACAGGATTAATGGGTTCAAATGGGACCAGAGTCGGGTACCTTAGGCTCCAGTCCAACCAGTTCCAGTTTACTCCTGAGACTCCTCTCTTTGCTGTTCCCTCCTTCTATCTTTCTTTAGAGAGAAAAGCAGACCCAAATCACTGAAGGATGGGCTGATAAAATGTGCCAGCAGACTGCAAAGTCTTCAATCTACTATCATTCTTTGTCATTTAAATAAGCAGAAGGTCTTGATTTGAGTCCTTGATATCAGCATGCCATGTAACTCCTCTTTTTCCCCTGTCCTAACAGCAGCCTGCCTTTCCAAACATTAGCCCAACTGTTTAGCTCCTCTCCCCTTGGAACGGCATTTTTGAACCTGGCTACTGTCTGTGCTCACTACCCTTCAATTATCTCCTGCACCGTATTAGATCTGCTATTTCACCTTTCCCTCTAATCACACTGTAATCACCAGCCTCTATACATTAGCAGCAACCAAGTGAAAAATCACTGGGATAATCACTTGGACCAAATCGGGAGAGATGGTCCCCTGCATGCACATGGATGACAGAAGGAAGATTAGGGAGAATTATGTTTGTGCCTACTCCCTGGCAAGGCTGCTGACAGCTGACCTGGCACCAGTAACACTGCCAAATTTACCCAAAGAGGCGATGGAGGATGTGCGATAAAACCTTCCGTATCATATAGTGAGGTGTTAAAATTGCAAAGTAAATTGACTTTATCAAAAATTTAAAAAAAGAGAAAGGTGGATGATAAAATTTATCAAACCTTTTTTTAAAACCCCTTTAGCACAAATAAAATTGACCAATTCTGCTGGAAATCGTCAATTCTTTAGAAGTAGATGCTGCGAGGCCTGTGTTATTGTGCTGCTTCTTTCAGCATGTAATTGTGTCCTAACTGTCTCTATAGAGGCTGCTTTTTTTTTTTTTTTACAAAATAACTTGCTCTACATTTCTTTCTTTTTCTTGCTTGCATCCTTGCTGGGACACCTGCAAAGCACAGTATGTTGTTCAGCAATGAAAGAATATTTGTGAACCACGGTAGTTCTTCAGATTCAAAATGATGCCCATCAAAATGACAGGTTTTTTAAAAATTGCGTTTAAATAGGGTAAAACCCAGCCCTCCTTCCTTAGCCCTTGATCGGTAGAAATACTGGAAGCTATATAAATTGCAGTGTGGTGAAGTAGGTCAAAACAATGCCATGTTCTGCAAACCTCGTTATTCATGTGAAGCTGAACTAATCGATCGGAAATGTTCCATGAGCAATGAAATTTCCTGTGCTTGTCTCGGCCATCTTTATAATACATTCTGCAAGTGAGGATCTGTCAGGCTGAAGATGAACTTTGAATGCCACGTCCACTGATCTTCTCTGTCTTATATCAGATGCTTTACTAGTTCCCACTGGTCAAGTCCCCTATGAGCCAAAACCTAGTCTAGTCTAGTGTAGACTCCTGCTGTCTGCTTGGCTAACGGTGCAGTGTTCATGTAGCAAATCTGCTATACCAGGGCAAAATCAGGCAATACCTCAGCCTCAGTCTGGTCTGGTATTTAGTCCAGGCCATGTTTCACCTCTAAGAGCAATGACAAACCCAGCAGGCACTCACCAAGCTGTTGCCAGAATGCTATTTGATATTTGTCCTCTAATTTTCAAAGAGAAATATATTTGGCATTTTAGCTAAAAGGAATTAGTATGAATCTAATTAATTGTGAGTATATAATATTTAGCAGTCAAAAATCTACAAGGACACATCAAAAACGATGTCCACACCCACAAAAGCATATAGTTTCTTTTCTCTGTGGCTATACAACCTTTATTTACCATGTCACTATCAGCGGTTCAGTACACAAGTATATACAGTTGTATTACAATGAGCATTGCTTGCTTCTCTGCCACAGATGCATGTACCAACTGTGATCTGTATTATGAAATGAGAAATTGTAGGGGTATATACATACTACCCATTTCCTCAGTTGTTGCAACGCCACTACTCACAAGGTCAGTCTGTTAGCGGAGCATGTATCCTTAGAGGGCCCCAGCCAATGGTGGGCCGTGCAGAGAACTGCTAGAGCATGTCTACGAGACTCCAACCCCCTGGGTGCATAACACTCACCCTAAAATAGCAGTGATTGTCAAGGAAAGGAAGTGAAATGTAATTGACTGAAAGTGGAGAGATAATTAAAGGAACCTGTTGGACAGGAGGGAAGAAATTAATGCCTCTCATTTAATAGCTGCTTTGGGAGAGAGCTTTTCCGTCATCTCACTTTAGCGCAGAAAGGGTTTTGCTGTGGAAATGGGATTTTGTACAGAAAAAGGTGGAAGTGGAAATAGGCGCTGGGTGGTGGGGGTGCTGTGTGCTAAACTGAAACTCCACAAAATCACTCCCAATACTCAGGGCATCAGGCGTTATGATGTCATGATTAGTGGAGAGGTTCAGAGCCTTGCCTTACCCCTGATCCTGAGGGAGGTTGCACAGAATCACAAATATGAGGTCAGTGCTGTAAGATCGCAGCTCATCACGGGGAGTGCTGAGCCGCAGAAGGGCTGATGAACCACCTAAATTGTGCTTTGGATTTATATTATCAACATCCAACTGCAAGAGTAACAAACAAACAAACAAACAAAAAAAGATGCCATCGTCCACCCGGGAATCGCTGGAGGTGTGCGATTATGTTTAACAACTAGACTGAAAGTAATGAAGACAAAGACTTTTTTTATTCCTTAATGTAAATAGTCTATAAAATACAAAAACAGAGGGAGGGTGTACAGCAGCTTGTGATGAGAAGCCCAACTCTGTGGGACAATGATGTCATTATAAAATGTATCCACAGCAGTGCAGGGATCTTGGAGAGTTTTAGTCATTTTAAGCCCCTTAAGTTTGGGCTCTGAACATGCATCCTACAACCCTAAGTGTCGGACCAAGGCTTAGAGAGTATTTGACTTAGTGTCAAACCTAAGCCACAGCTGCAAAGTGATCCGTTAATTAAGATTCCGTGTGTACACCGACATGTCATGATTTTTCTGACAGAAGAAAGATCGCCTGTGCTGTAATTGGATTAGTCCAATTGGGGCTGATGAACAGATATGACAGTGACAGTAGAGTTCATCCATCTGCATGCTTAATGCTTGACAGTGCAACAAAAAAAGCATTAGCCACTACAACACTTTTTCAAATTCTTTGGAAGTGAAAGTTTGGACTTTACGACATTTAAGGAAGTTTTACAAAATGAAACTCCAGGTTAACAGTTTGTTCAACATGTACATAAGTCATCATTTAGTACACATGTACATGAATAGTTAGGCCGGGATTGGAGGAAGGGGACAAACGAGAGCAAATAATTGTTGAACCCAGCAGAATCCCCCTGCGTGCTTGACCCAATCTGCCAATGCTTTCCTGACCACACAGCTGCGTTACTCCTGTACATACAATATAGCTTATTTTTCAATTCTGTTGAACCTTCTTTATAGGCCGTACAATAGATCATGTTCAAACATTTAAAAAAATTAAAAGAATAGTTAATATATTTCAGTGAAACTAAGAGAAGGAACCTATGAAATAATTTATCAAAAACAGAAGATAAAATGATGTTTTTTCTTGTATAGTGAAACACTGATGTTTAAAAATGGGATTTTATACTCATATT